AGAATGAAACTGACGGGGGGGGGGGGGGGATGAAGCTTGCTGGGAGCAGCAGAACAGCTCCTCGCGCTTCGTGGGTCACTGGGCAGGGAGGGATGGGTGGGCACATGCTGCCCCCGGAACGCCTGCCCGCGGTCTGACCAACGCTCTGTCCTTCTCCATGGGCCTGCTGAGACCCTCTCCTGTGTCTGTGTCCCACCTTACTCGCTGGCGTGCTTCCTGGCCAGGAGTCCCACTGCGCCACCCTGCCCCACCCTGAGCAGTGCCAGCCCCACGGCAGTCGGGTAGCTGGGCATCGCCATACGGCCCTCGATCGGCAGCACAGAGGCCCACCGCAGCCGGAAGCAAGCGAGTGTACGCGTCAGGGATAGGAAATCCCGTTCAATTGGCTAACCGGAGAAACGGGATGTTTAGCCAATGGGGGAGGGGGCAGGCAAGAGGGCTCCTCCCACCTGGCTGGGCTGGAGCCCCCACCTGCCCAACCAGAGCAGCCCTTGCCTGCAACATGCCCAGGCCCTCCATGGACAGGGCCTACTCTGGCTGCCCAGGGCCCCTCCCCACAGTGGGCAGGGAGCTGCTGTAACCCCCACCGGTTAACCGGGACCGACCAGTTACCCTTTCACACCCCTGGCGTGCGTGTGTGATGGGGGAGGGGAGGCTGCCCCAGGACAGGGCTGGCTGCTCCCCCCCGCCCCAAAGGAAAGCCAGGGGGCTGCCGCTAACGTGCACGGCCGGAGCAGGCAGTGGCAGAAGCAACATTGTGGAGGCAGGTGAGACTGAGCCGGGCGCTCGGATTTACCCTGCCAGGGCGAAGTCTCTGAAGCAAGCTGGTCGGGAGAGAGGGGGCAGTCACCCAAGGGGACTTCTGATTTTTGAAACCCCAAAGCGGGCAGGTCTGGCTGGGGCTGAACACACAGATCATCCCTCCCGGCTCCAGCAGAGCCAAGACAAAGCCTTCTGGGGCCTTCTGATGCTCAGGAGTCCGGCAGAGGATCCTGCGGCCAGCCCGGCCCAAGGAGCCTAGCAGAGTGTTTGCACCCAGACGTGGGGAATGGCAACTGGGTCTGGCCTCTCAAATGGACAAGGGTTGGGGTTGAATGCTGCCCCCCCATGTGCATCTCCCCCATGCTTTCATCCTGATCCGGAGAGCAGGGCCAACAACAGGCGCAGAGGCTAGACGACCCCACCCCACTACCCCACACCTAGGGCACAACTGAGCAGCAGCCACCTAACCCACAGCTGCGCTGGCACCACCCATGCGCTGGGTGCTCAGGCTGACGCTCACAGGCGGCAGGAGCCACGGCATAGCGCCGCGCAGGGGGAACAGGGCCATCTGGGCGGCAGTTAAGTTCCATCCAGCCAGAGCTGAAGCGAGCGAGAGCGAGGTGAGCTGAAGCGAGCGAGAGCGAGGTGAGCTGAAGTGAGCGAGAGCGAGGTGAGCTGAAGCTTGCAAGCCTGCTAAGTGAGGTCACAATTCTGGGTCACAGGACATTGTATGTTACCAAACCAGGGCACTGGCCCTGCAAAGCACAAACCCCGGGAAGCTCTGGGGACCAGGCCGTGCCGGTTGGAATGAACACGCTAGTTTAGTGCTCACAGGTCAGGGCCTAGCACCACGGACTGGGTGTGAGCCAGGCACCGTGCAAGCTACATGCAGTGCGCAGAACATGCAAGCACCCTGTCTGGAGACACAACCGTGCACCTGCTGCAGATACTGTGCAGGGCAAAGCTCTCCCCTGCTTCCCCCGTCCTGACACAGCCAGTGGCATTTCTCCAAAACTCGCTGGGAGTTTCCAGCTGCCTACGCCCACAGAGACTCCTGGCAAAGCTAAACGGCCTGTAAAATGCCACTGGAATTAAAAAGGGAAGTTGTCCTGCTACTACCCCCCAAGGGGAATGTTTCCAGTGCAGGGCAGAGCCCTGTAAAACAAGCAGCGACTCTGGAGTTTCCCCTTCTGTTCCGGTTGACAAAAGTGGCGTTATGGGCGGGGGAGTGGAACCACTCGGAGTGCAGGTCCCCTCCCCCTTTTGCACTTTGCTCCGCAGTCCATGCCACCGGAGCTCCGTCCGAGACTCACTCGGGGGGCGGTCGGGGCGGGGAGCACTGCCGAAGGAGGTTTTGAAAAGCCTGCGGAACTCCTCTCTGAACCCATTCACACACACAAACCCACCGAGCTACAGGGGCTCAGCTACCCCACCACGCCTCGGCTAACAATACCGTAAGCAGTGTAACACCAAAACGCAGGCGGCCTGGGGCACCCCGAGAGGCCGCTGGGAAAGAAGAGCCCAGAGAGAAGTTACCGTCAGGAGGGGGCATCCGGGTGGGGGGAGGGGAGGGCAAGCTGGGGCTGGAAACACCATTTCCCCCGCTGCTTTGGACAGGAGATTCAGCCCTGTACCGCAGGACAGCACAAGCCCCCCCCCCCCCGTCACACCGACGCCCCCAAGGCCTACGCGTCACTTCCATCTACGGGCCCTGTGCTGCCTCTCCCGGGGGGGCGGCTAACACGCTCGTGCAATGCAGTCACAAGGCCACACGTGCAACTCGCACTCAGCTCCTGGGATTCTCAGCCCTCCTTGCAATCCCAGAGCCCGTCCCTCGAGGTCCATACCTGCTACTAGCTTTTTAATCTCAGCTGTGTCAGTCCCATTGAGAGGCATAGGGAAGAGAAACAGATTAGGGGGACAGTGATTTTCCTTTGAAAGCAAATGAGCAAGTCAGAAGCATCGAGTGACCTTTCGGGAGCACACTAGGGGGAAGGCGCCTTCAGGAACCTGCCAGGGAGGGCCGGAATGAATGCCAGGCTCTGCAGAAGAGTCACCTACGCGGCTGCCCCACACACGCACAGCGCATGGGCCTCCTCTCCGGACAGGGCGTGTGGCGACAGGCTGTTACCGGGACGGAGATCCCCAGCAGTGCATGGGGCCTGCGACTCACCGGTGCTCGGGGACTCTGGCCTGTGCCCGTCATGGAGCTGGGATCACGGGTTACGGGCCAGCGGATCCAGCGCCCCTGGGGCTGAGTCCTGGACTTTGCCTTCCCATCCCAGATGGACAGAAGCTGGGAGCATTCCGGGGCGCCTCTCCACTGCAGCGGGGCACGTGCTCCCCAGGCAGGTAGCCAGGCACGCTAGCATTAGCCCGGTGGCTATTGGGCGGTGGCTTTGACTAGCCCCCCGAGTACAAATCCCCCCGAACCCCAGCTGCTGTTAGCACACCAGCTTAGCCAATGGGGGTGTCTACCTGGAACGGGAGAGTGTGGCTTTGCGGACATGCGTGGCCAAGGAACGGCATGCCCTGCAGGGATGTTAACCAGTTAACCACTAGGCATACTGGTTAGCATGAGGCTTACTGGTAAGCTTCCCGGTTAACCAGCCCTTGCCCATGAACTCTGGTTATGGCCAGCCGCACCGGGCTAGAGCAGCACCAGCCAAGGAGGGGCCAGGCGGCGGGACCTGGGGACCGGGCAGCAGGCTTTAGGTTAAAACGGTTAACCAGTGAAGCGCTATCGTTAACTGCTTAACGGTTTTCAGCTCCCTAGTGCGCTGACGACCCCAGAGCGCCAGGGGCAAGGCGACAGGTTCCAAACCCCTGCAAACAGGAGAGCGGGGTGGGGCTTTCGGGGGCCAGGACTCTCCTCGCCCACCTACCCGTGCATCACGAGCCGCCCTGCGGCCACGGGGATCAGGCACACGACGTCACGCAGCCACTTCCCGCGGGGGGAAGGGCCAGGAGGCCAGGATAGTTTTATTCCGGCGCCACTCTTGTTCCCCCAGGGCCCTGCTCTGGGCTCTATGTTTGCGTGCGGCTGGGGGGGGAGCCGGGACAGAGGAGACAGGCGTGAATCCTGGCACCGACAGGGCTGGCAGGTCTGCTTTGACACATGCCAACCTCTGCTGGCACACCCAGCCCTTCCGGAGAGACACTGACCACTGGACCATGTAGCAGCGGCTCCCAACCCGTCTGGTACCGCAGGGGGATTCCAGGGGAGTCACAGGGCCGGGCTGGGCCACAACCTCACCACCCGAGCCTGCCCTCACCACCCGGCTGGGATCAGCGCTGCGGTGCCAGGGCAGAGGGGGCCCGCCCTGGCGGGTAGCAAAACGCCAAAAGGGACCACAGGATCCTGACCACCAGGCCCGAGCGGTCTGGGCTGCACACTCCTCCCCTGCTCCCCGTCCCTCACACGCTGCCTGTGCAGACTCTACAACCAGCTCCACGCGGCCCCTCCTCCCCCCCAGACACCACAGTTTATATTCAACCTGACAACTGCAAGGGAAGTAATAAAAAAAATATTTAACAATCTTAGAGACTCCTGGCTGCGCGCCAATGCTAACTACCTTCGCCAATTAAAATGCAAGAGCCATCCTCGCCGGCTTAGATGGGCACTTAGCAATGTGTTACCTGTCAAGAGCTCCACGCGGCCCCTCCTCCCCCCCAGACACCACAGTTTATATTCAACCTGACAACTGCAAGGGAAGTAATAAAAAAAATATTTAACAATCTTAGAGACTCCTGGCTGCGCGCCAATGCTAACTACCTTCGCCAATTAAAATGCAAGAGCCATCCTCGCCGGCTTAGATGGGCACTTAGCAATGTGTTACCTGTCAAGAGCTCCCAACGCCACGTCCCCGGTGAGTTGTGAGACACATAACAACAGCACGGCACCTGACATTTAGTAGGCTAGCAAACAATTGTTTGACAGATATTCTAGTAGCTGTCAGAGACACCAGATTCCTCCTTTCCCCCAACAGCTGCCGAAGGGGCGGTGCTCACTCTCAGGCTCGTCTTGTGAAATTCAAAGGGGAGGCTGGAACGTAGGCAGGAATAACCAATCGCCGCCCCGCCCACCCCCCTTGCTGCGGGAGGATGGGCCGAGAGGAGAGCATGCTCAGGAGAGAATTTACCTGGGTCCGTTTCCTTCTCTGATTTCCCAGCCTCCGGGATGTTCCCAGGCTGCGGCAGATTCGCATCCTCCCTTCCTGCTGCGGCCTCTGCCCTCTTCTTGCCCTCCGGCGGGACAGCTGGCGACCTTGCCTCGACCGGCTGCTTGCCTGCCTCCAGATCTTTGTACAGCGGCCGGCCATCTCGGCGCCCCTCCGGGGCATTCTGCCGGTGGTCGAGGGGACTGTCCTGTTCTTTCTGGGGCAGGTTCTGGTCCCCAGCTTCCTTTCCTGGCTCCGCGTTGGGCTCCTCTCTCTTGGGCTCCAGCTGGGCCGCCTTCTCGGGCAGATTTGCCTTGGCGTCGTCACGTGGAGGTTTCTTCTCCTCGGATTCCTCCCGGTCCTGCCCCTCGTCTACTACCACCGCGTCATGGGGGACAGGCGGCTCGTGGCGGTGGGCTTCTCCCACAGGTAAAGCGATTCCTAGGGAGAAGGGGAGGGGAGAGAGTCAAGGGGCCCCTCTGGTGGGAGTTGGGGAAACTCCCCCCAACATCTGTGTGTTACCCCCACCACGATACAGGCCCACCCCGCCAGCGAGCGGCCCCTGCTGCCTAGCCAGGGACCAGCAAAGCTAGCGAGCCGCAGAAGCAGTCTTGCTGGGCCAGGGAGGGAGGGAACCAGCCGGGACGGGGATGGATCATGCCAGTTCTCTGCAAGAACACTGCCCACCACCCCTTCTGAGGCTGGCACGCCACCTCTCCGGGCTCCAACGCCCTCGCCCCCTCCCCAGCCCACAGAGATACCCTGGTCGGGCCGGTCGAGCTGCACTTCCTCCTGCTGCTGCTTTTCCTTTGGTTCGTCTCTCTTGGGCACGTCCATGGGCACCTTGATCTGCGGCTGCTCCATCTCCTCCTTGGCATTCGGCAGCTTGGGCTTGTCGCGGCCGTCCCCTGCCTCCTCGGCAGCAGGCTCCTGCACTGTAAGCACAGCACCGGTAACCTGGCGGCACAGCCAATCCATGCCAGGCAGCGGGGCGATTCCCGTATCAATTCGGCGCGCCTTAGCCATTGGGAGGGCTTCGTTCCCTTTGCTAGCCACCGCCCTTACGCGCCCCGGCAACACAGCCAGCGCCACGCTGCAGGCCCAGCCCCGCCTGTCGCCCAGCTTTGCCACCAGGTGGCAGCCTTGCTCTTGCGCGCGCTTCCCTGAGCGGCGCCCCAATTCCAGACCCTGTGCTACTCTGCACCTCTCGGGGTCCCGCGCCTGCAGCGCGCTCGCTCGCTCGCTGGGGGTCCCTGCCCGCTGCCAGGCTGCACTCTAGACAGGGAAACCGGTTCCTAAGGTTCCTTCTTTGCAAGGCCGGCGGCTGCAGCTGGCAAGGGTGATGTTAAGGGACCGAGGGGGACTACGTGACCACAGATCAGGCACCGAATTTTAACCGGGAGGGTGATTAAGCCCTGGAACAAACTTCCAAGCAAAGTGGCCCCTCCATTCTTGATGCCTTGGCGGGAAAGCTGCCTGCCCTTCCGAAAGCAAGTTGTTGGGACCCACGGCGAGGTTACCGAGTGGAATTCTCTGGCCTGCGTCGTGCTGTCAGGCCAGATGTTCAAAAGGTCCCCTGCGGGCTCCATCTACGAATTGGGAATGTAGGTGCCGCCCAGCAGCGGCCCCCGCTACGGAAAGGCTTGAGAACTCGGGCCAGAGGCAAACCTGAGGGGTTTTTCAGCTTCTGGGAGATGAAATCACACAGAGCACTTTCCGGCCAATGAACTCTGAAATCGTTATGTTCTCTATCACGAAAACACCCTTCTCCACCCCTCCCTCCCCTTGCCTTTGGGGGATTCATTCTGCAAACATCTTGCCACGCTCCCCGCCCCCTCCCCGGGGCAGCCGTCTGTTACCGGATGAACTCATGGGAAAGAGCCTGCCACCATTTCAGCTGTGCGGGGCTGACGCAAGAGGTGAAGGAGACGGAGCACTGCAAGATCCAGGCCCGGCTGGAGACTGGGGATCTTTGCCCTAGCGCCCTGCCCCACGTTGAGAAACTAGGTCAAGTCTGGGTGGCTTTCAAGGTTGCTTTGGTTAAGTAAATATCAGAGGGAGAAAAGCAAGGAGGGGGGGGGCAGGCTTGCTAACGCGCCCCTTCCCGGGAAGCTGTCGGGCCCTGTCACTGCCGGGTGAAGCCCTGATTGGCAGGAGAGTTTCTCTCCCAGTGGCTACAGAACGGGGGATCTGGCATTTCTGAGCTCCCTCTGGGAGGGTGGCAGTTCCCATGGGGAGAGGCCGGGCCCCGGGAAGACAGCGCTCTGCCCAGCCAAGTTCTAGCCTCACAATCCACAGGTGCCTCGGTCTGCCCAGCAAAGCTGCGGTGGAATTGTTACGGGGTCCGGGTAGCTATGCCCCCGTCCTCCTTGCAGCCACAGAGGTTTGGCTCGTCCAAGAGAAGGCTCAGAGGTCTGCGCCGACAGTGTCCTGGGGGGTGAGGTGAGGTTTCCTTCGACAGGCCCCCCCCAACATTTCCTCAGCAAAACCACAGCGTTCAGGGGAGCCAAACACACCAAGCTTCCTGTCTGATGGGGAGGAACCCGTTAAAAGAAAGCAGAGCTCCTGCCTCTCTCAGAATGACCAACCGACCGCCCGACCCTTGGCCCAGCGACCTTCCCAAACAGACCTGTGACTGTCCAGCAGGTGAAACGCCCAAAGTCTCCCCCTACCACGCAACCTCTGGCGGAGGCCTCACAGCTGTTGCGGAGGCTCCGTCGTAAATCACAAGCCAGCTGGCACGTTCCACACATTTCAAAAACCCACACAGCCAAACACAAAGGGAGAAAACCTCCACTCGGCAATAAGACCAAGTTGCCTCCAAGCCGTCATTTTCGCAGCAGGAAAGAAAATTAAGTTCATCATCTGGGCGTGAATTAATGGCCTTGCATGCGGCATGGAAACCTGTAAGGAGCTCTGTGCGGTTTGGAGAGAGCAGTTTTGCTCAGGATGTGTAATAATCACTAACTGTACAGTGGCCGCTCAGGCCCCTTTGGATACCGTTCCAGTAATGCTGGGCCTCTGAATGTTTTATGAGCGGCGCTGGACTTTACAGGCAGAGGCCGAGAAGCTATAAAAGCTTCTTGGCTTACAACAACAACATCTCCGTGGCAGACGGCAAGAGGGCTGTCTTTGCTGTTCCCTGGCCCTTCCAGAACCACCCCAGAACACAATGCCCCCTAGCTACTGTCCCTGCTGGACAAATACGTGGGTTGGGTGGGGGGGAGAGGCACCCAAGACCTCCTGAAACGGAGTTTCTCTCTCTCTGAAGTGTTCTGCCAACAATGTCTCCAGGCTGCAATGAAACGGCATGATTAGCCACCTCAGCGCTTCTCTCCCGCCCAGCTTCTGCTTGGGGTTCCAGCAACGGCACCAGAGAGACAGAACCAATTACTCCTCACGCGCTTTGCGTCTCGCTCTTCCCCACCATGTGAACGAGCCCGCGTCTCTGGAGGGAGAGGAGACCGCTTGGCCGCCGCCTGAGGGAAGGGGGCCAGATGTGGCGAGGCACAGCAGCCAGCGGATGGGGCAGCAGGAAGGCTCTGTCGCATTGAGCAAGACAAGACATTTTTTGGCCATGGTGTCATTCCCAGGGCCGGGCTATTTTAAGTCCTTGACTTACGTTCCTGTGTCACGAGGCGCCGTCTCCCCGGCTCTGACCGCAAGAGGGCGCAGCCAGCTGCAAAGCCCTGGGTTTTCAATGCTCCCTTCCACAGTCCGCTTTTTGAAGGGATCAAGCCTGGTCCTCAGGTGGCGCGAGGCCCTGCTCTGGAGACGGGGGCGAAGCCTTTGGGACCCCTCCCAACCCCACATTTTGAAGCTATTTGCACAAGTTTGACCCCCCCCTCCCTCCGGCCACTCCTGCTGCTCCCCCGGCCCTCCCTAGGCAAGAAAAGGAGACTGGGCAGGGATGGGCCTGGCCCAGCAGCAGAACACGCAGCCGGGGCGCCCCCGGCGGGGGCAGCCGCGCAGTGGGGGGCTGGGGAGACGCGGCGCTTTACCTTTAGAAGTGCCACTCCTCTCCAGCCAGCTGCACGGCCGCCCGCTGCTCCTCCAGCCCCTGCCTCCCTCCCGGCCCTGCTCCTGCCTTGCCAGCTCTCCCAGACCACTGCAGGACGCGGCCTCCGGTCTGGGGAGCTGGCAACCCCTTTCCCCCATAGCTTCGGTGGCCATTCCCGGGCGGGGAGGAGTGGGCTCGCGCCGGTGCCGGGCTGCGTGGGGCAGGGACGGCCCTGATTAAGAAAGAAGTAGCTGGCACATTTAGGCATCTTGCTGAAATGCAGATTAACGGGGCGGGCGGGGGTAAGAACAAAGTAGGCTCCGCCTCAGCAAGATCTCAACGACTTGACTGGCCTGGAAGCCTGACCAGCTGTGCCAGCAGGGGGTTCCTTGGGCAGGGATCCTCCAGCCCGCTGGAGCGCCAACAGCGCAGATAACAAGTCTCCAGGCGCCTGGGGAAAGAATCTGTCCACGGACAGGGCTGCGGGGCAGCAGTGCTGAGCGGCCCTGATTAAGAAAGAAGTAGCTGGCACATTTAGGCATCTTGCTGAAATGCAGATTAACGGGGCGGGCGGAGGTAAGAACAAAGTAGGCTCCGCCTCAGCAAGATCTCAACGACTTGACTGGCCTGGAAGCCTGACCAGCTGTGCCAGCAGGGGGTTCCTTGGGCAGGGATCCTCCAGCCCGCTGGAGCGCCAACAGCGCAGATAACAAGTCTCCAGGCGCCTGGGGAAAGAATCTGTCCACGGACAGGGCTGCGGGGCATCAGTGCTGAGCGTTTACTCGCTCTGATCCAAAGCGGCTCCGTCTTCACGGAGACCGGCAGACGGCGCCACGAGGGAGCAGGGCAATGGCTGAATGGTCCCGAACACTGAGCCACGGTCTCAGGCTTGAGTTTCAGAGGCGCCGGGGGCTCAGAAGCACCTTCTGAAGCCAACAGACGCTACGGGCTCTACTCAGAGTCTAGCTCACGGCCCAGCCCCGATCCGGGCAGGGGGACAGGCCCCGCTATCTCCAAAACCAAGGCGACCAAGTAATTATCCATTAAAAATAAGCGAGAGCGAGCGAGCACACCGCCCCTCCCCCGAGCCCCACACCGGTGACAGATTTCACAAGGTTATCGAATGGCATCGGTGAAATTAGCTCACAGTCGTCTCCTGACGCCCCAGCCGTAAAAACAAACCAAAATTACACCGGGGTGCGAGTTCCTTTTCTGTGTCACAGACGCTATTGAGAGCGCGGGCAGAGGCGCTGGGGAGCGCGGCAGCAGAGCCAAGCTGCTCCTGCCGCCGTCAGGACACAAGGAGGGCTGCACGACGCACCCCGACGGGGGCTGTGCCAAGCATGTCTGGCAGGGAGAGGCGCGGGACCCGGGCAGGTGTCTTCTGGGGAGCGCAGGTGCGGGTTCGAGTGGGCAAGGTGGCCATGAACATCGGGGTGGAGAAAGGGACCGAGGAAGAGCTATTTACTCACAACACAAGAGCAAGGGGCCACCCCCCGGAATTCCTAGGCAGAAGGTTTAAATCAGACCACAGGAAGTGGGTTTTCCACACAACGCACAGCCGACCTGTGGGGCAGGTGTCTTCTGGGGAGCGCAGGTGCGGGTTCGAGTGGGCAAGGTGGCCATGAACATCGGGGTGGAGAAAGGGACCGAGGAAGAGCTATTTACTCACAACACAAGAGCAAGGGGCCACCCCCCGGAATTCCTAGGCAGAAGGTTTAAATCAGACCACAGGAAGTGGGTTTTCCACACAACGCACAGCCGACCTGTGGAACCCCAGACTCCAGGGGCTGCCCGCCAGCTGCAGGGGTGGGGGGGGTGCCCACAGCAGAGGTCCAGCTCCCCCATGCTCACCAGCAGCAGTGGGGAGGAGCAGAGCAAGGCGGCCCCAGCTGCTTTGCTGTCCTGCCATGCTGCTCTGGGTGGAGACAGGCCTGCCCCACGCTCTCCGGTGAGAGCAGAGCAACGTGGCTGGGGAGCAAGGCAAGCTGGGGCCGCATTGCTCCACTTCCCCTTGCTGCTGCCGCGGCGTGGGTGGGGCTGCAGAGGGATCACATGGCCAGTGGCCCTCTGGGTCCAGTCACCTCTGTGTGGGCTGCTCGCCAGAGGACGCTGTGGAGGCCAGGGCTGTAGAACAGGGTTCAAAAAAAGAGCTAGATGCGTTCAAGGAGGATAGGTCCACCCACGGCTCCTAGCCAGGCTGGGCAGGGGTGTATGTCAGAGGCTGGGAATGGGCGACAGAGGAGGGATCACTTGACGGTTCCCAGTTCTGATCATTCCCTCTGGGGCAGCTGGCGCCGGTCACAGTCAGGAGACAGGACACTGGGCTGGGTGGTCTGGCCCAGTCTGGCTGTTGTCGGGGACCCTGTATGAAATATGAAAAGGCCGCGGTTGGCTGGCACAGGATGAGCCTGCCTGGATACCCGATCCCTACGCTCCTGGGGGCAAGGGAAAGAATCCAGCTCGGTGCACAATGCGCTCGGTTCCAGCCACGTCCTGTTAAACGTGAAACAGCAGAATCCACGGGGGTGCAGCAAGTGAAATCCGGGCTCAGACCCTCCTGGCTACAGCCAGCCGAAGCGCGGCCGGCGCCAGGGGCTGAGGGGCCAGGCTGCTGTCACACAAAGGGCACGAATCAGACCTCCGTTACCAGATATTGCACAATGAAAAAATAATCAAACGAAGCAGCAACACTCAAGTAAGGAGCTGAAAAATATTACAAAATCTTAATCCTCCCCAGGAGACCCTGGGGGGTGCTTGCAAATACGGAGAGAAATTGCCTAATTAGCTTTTTTTTTTTTTAAACGGATAATTGCCTTCGTGGGCTTTCCAGGCAGCTTAGCAACCTTTTAACACGCGTACGCACTGTATGTAATAGCAGAACATTTCTGAAAGGGGTTTTATACCTTCCCAAAGAGCCGCTGACAGTAAACCTCACGCAATACAGGCAGGGACCGTAATGGGCACTTGGGTGTCATTAGTGAACACACGATTCAGAGTTCACTGGTCAATACGTGTTCACATAAAAGGGCAATGCTCTAATATTCATAATCCCAGGGCCCACAGGGCAGGGGCTTAATGAAAGTCTGTACAGTTCTGGTCTCCGCAACATCAAAGAGACCAATAAAACAACTCTCACGCGCTGACAGGCGAGAGTCAGGCGGAGAACGCAGAACGGTAAACGGGGTTTGCCTCCACCAGGCAACCCATCAATTCAAGGGGGTGGGTGGGAGAAAAGCCCCAAGAACATGCTCAAAACAAAGGGCGTGCTGCCTGGAGAGAAGCCATGTGGTTCTGGTAAGGGCTCGTGCAAGAAATAAGAACCAGATGTGGCCAATGCAGGGAGCCCAGGTGACAGCAGGGCAGCCCCCAGCCCTGCACAGATTTCCAATGACAGGATGCAGCTGCTCTGGGAGGCTTCAGGGCTGCAGACTAGCCCCTTCCCATAACAAGCCCGGGCAGGACCAAAGGGAGGGGGAGGAAGGTGTTGATTAAAGCAGGGTAATTAATCGCCAGCCAAGGCTGCGTCACATGGAGAACACAGAGCCCAGGGATCAGAAGGCAGGATGGGCTGCGCCGCGTGGCCAGCACAGGCGATTCTGGGATGAGAGCGCCTTGGTTCCCAAGGAACGCAGCGTGCAGCTTGCTTCCCAGGGCTGATGGCCGGTCTAGTTCATCGCTCTCTTTCCTCTCCAGAGTCTGCTGCACGTCATGTCCGCCGCCCACAGGGCCAGGCTGCAAAGCGAGTGCCGAAAAGCACCCACTCAGCTTCCCAGAGACGGCCTTCTCCTGGCTCCCCCGGGCTGGGGCGAAGCAAACTGGAATCTGGCCCGGCCCGGCTGCAGGGCTAATTCCCAGGGCAATTTCACATCTACAAGTGTCAGCCTCGGAGGTAGGGTCATTTAATCCACCATCAAGGCGGCCAGTGAGCTGGGCTAGTGTGTGGAGAGGAAATCCAGGATTCACGAGGTTATGGCCGAACACACCCTGCTCTTCTTCCTGGCTAAGGCAGGGCTAGAACGGCGGGGCGACTGACAAGCTCCCACAGATTCATTTTCCCTGTGGCGAAACGTCCGCAAGATCCTTATGCCCCAGAAAAAGGGGCTTTTGTGCAAAAAGGAAACATCCACACTGCTTGGTTTTGCGCAAAAACCCCAGCGCAAAAATGGATCGGCAGAACATATGCAAATGAGATTGTGACTCATGCAAATGAGTCCCTCATTAGCATATTTTTTGCTGAGAAAACTCG